GAAGACTTTCAAATATAAATTCAAATTGAATCGTCATGTAAAAATACATCGACCGATAGCGGAAAAGTGTATATTTCCATGTCCACAATGTGATAAAAAATTCCAAACTAAGGAATATGTTTTGCGACATATAAAGTTTGTACATGAAGATATACGTTCATTCATATGCGAAGAATGTGGTGAGTGTACACGCACGGAAGCTACACTGCGGGAACACATGCTTATACACACCGACTATGCACCTTTTGAATGTGAAGTTTGTAAGAAAGGATTTAAAAATCAATCGAGGTTGAAGGTACGTATTGCAAGCATTAAAAATTATGAATAAGATACTATAAAGAATATTTATAGCGGCATATGGAGATGCACAGCGATCATAAACATATATGCGGTGAATGTGGTTTAGAATTGAATTCGCGTTTAACCTTGAATCGTCATATGCTTGTGCATTCTGATAAAATGCAGCATAAATGTGATTATTGTGGGCGCGAATTTAAACGTGTGAAAGCTTTAAAAAGTCATTTAATACTTCATAGTGGCTTAAAACCATATTCATGTGACTTCTGTGACAAAACGTTTGCCCATGGCTCAAATTGTCGCACTCACAAAAGAAAGTTTCATCCCGAAGAATTTGCGGCCTTAGAGGCTTCCGGAGAAAAGAAGTTCACTAAAAATATCCCTAACTTAGCGGTTTTAAAAACAGTGTAAGTTAAAAACATGTATATATTTAATATAAAACAAAGTTTATAAAAATCGTTTAATTTGCAGTACCCGCACAGCTGAGAATCTTTTGCCCGTGGTATGTAAACAAAGTGGAAACTTTTCTTCCGGCAAAAAACCGAACCTCCAATCAGTTGTAAAGGAGAAACACAACACCGTTCCTACGACAGTAGGGTCTAAGTAAACGGAAGGGACCCGGATTTTTATCCAATATTGTCAATTCGACGCCATTCCTCGAAATTACTTCAGGAATGTTTTCTGCCTCTATGAAAACAACAACGAAACATAAAAATATGCAGGGAATAAAACATAAGAGTGCTATGACGGTATTTCCTTGTTTAACATTATCAAACTTTTGAGTATCTAGTCCTTACTTTCTTTTTAAAGCTGTGATTGTGCTAAAGCGATTACTCTTGGCCGGCGACCTGAAGATGACTATAATAACAGACAATATAATACCAAGAATTGATAACTGGGTCAATGGGTATACACACGCAACCTATATTAACTTATGTATGTATGTATATGATGTAAACATATGTATGTTGGTTGATATTAACGGCTACTCTGCTGTACGTGTTTAAAATTAAGTCTTAATTTTTTAATGAATAAAAAGTCTGCAGTTATTGTAAATGTATAAAAAGAGTCTAGTTGAGATGCTCTTATTAAAGCCTCACTTAAGCATACCAAAATTGTCAGTATGTATTGAAATGTATTTATAGAAGAATCAGACAAACATACATACATATGCCTGATCGTAGTGATAAGTCATAGTCTTTAATTATTTCACTAAGTTAACATTTTTTATTGCATTATATTATAATAAATGGTAATCAGGAGTATGTTTGTTTTTATTAAAAACTTTTGAAAGTCATTTGTCGCGTGGTTTCCTAGATTTAATTATGATTTCAAGTTATTCATATATGGCTATGTGTATTTGTCTGAAACATGATGATAACGAGTGACCTTGAACTTATATAAATACATAAATGGAAAGTAACTAATGCTCGCAAGAGACACTTTATCTCTATGTGCGTGATAACATAAAAACTGTCTGGTTTATTCTTAAATTTAATACGGCAGTTAATAGTTTTTGTTCAAAATCTTATTATTATTATATTAATTATTGCCATAACAAATAAATTTTAGTTCCCATATTTTTGCTATAATTTTGAATGACAGTTCTATAACGGATTTGTTTTCATATTTAGAACCATAAGGTTAACGGATATTAAATCAAGTTAAATCAGCATTTCAGTTAACGAAACAAATTGTAGCGGCTCATCATAGTTTATAAGTTGCGCATTTTATAAAATTAGCATACATTTAATAAATTAATTTAATTTTGTCCGATACGGCTGATTACAACAGTGTTGTTTCTATGTCGTTTGATTTAAAATATTGGCAACTCTACCACCTCTGCTGATAAATTTTCTAATTTGACGTTTCCCTTTTCATTCTTGAAATTCAGTTCGATTCGATTTGCGGTGTGTATGTAACCTTCCAAGAAAGGTTGGTGTGTGTAGCGCGAGTATCACTAAATTAATTTCGATCTAAAAAAGTGTCTATTTTAACAAGGTGGGCGGTATTTTTGCAACAAATTTGTGCGGCTAAATATTGTAGAAACATTTTAGCTGCATTTCCTTTGTATTGATTTAATTCGATAGGTGCTCAATAATTTGTTTGCGTGTAACTTTAGTGCGTCAAGATGTTGAGGACAATTGCAGCACGCAACGAACTCGTAATACTGCGTGGAACAGCGCTAGCACGAGCAAGACCAGCACGTGAAGCCGTACGTGTTATGGGCGCACAAACGGCAAGGAAGCTACAGACACTCAGGTGCGTCTCATTTATAATATCAAACGGAGTTGGTGATGCTCTAATGACGTTTTAAGGTTAGAAAGCTGATTGTGTAACCTCGGCTGATGATTTGTGCTGATTGCAAAAACCAAAAAAAAATATAGAGAATGTCAAACACAAACTGACGTTAGCGTAAACGAAAGGAATCCGTTGTGATATTTAATTGAAAAGCAATATATTTATTTACATATAATCTAACTAGTAGGCGGTGGGATGGGATGTTTAAGCTAGTTCAATGCTACCAAAAAAATGTCACGATATGTATGCCACTGATAATGGCATACTCGATATTTTTCTTCGTTCATAGAACTTTTTGTATCTATGTATGTACAAGTATGTGTAAATGTACATACTTTTAAACATTTCTTATGACATAAACAGTATTTATTTGAATTTGTATAGTCGTTCTCCTACTTGTGACGCACAACATAGCATGCATATCTAAAATGTTAAAAAAGACTCTTTACCCTAAATATAAATGTTTACCGTGACGAATTGAGTCGAATTAGCTATGTTCATCTGTCTGTCCGTCTGTCCGTATATATGCGAACTAGTCGCTTCAGATTTTGACATAACGAACTGAAATCATCCTTTTATGGAAAACTTATTCATTTTACTAGATATCCTAACGAATTTTGAATTTGCTTATTATTCAAGGTAGCAGTACAATCTCCGTATAAATTATGTAGCTATCATACAAACCGGTCGATAAAAATTATTAATACAGATCTTTTTATACTCGTTTTTGACTAAAAGAAGTGCAGGTTTATAGTAGATACCATATATGTACAAATAATATAATATACATACATATGTATGAGAGAATTTATGGAGGAAAACGAATATTTTTTTGCATAATCACATTTTTTTTTTATAACCTTACCAATGTCGTATTTATTGCAATAAACATAACTTTTTTTTGTGCCTAGACTTGCGCCCAAGAACCATGTGGCCACCGTTCCGAAGCCATTAGGTATGTGGAGTACGAATTTTGCACGAAACTACGCCGACCTGCCGTCGCACATCAAAGTGCCACTACCGGCTCTATCGCCCACTATGGAACAGGGTACCATTATTAGTTGGGAGAAGAAAGAAGGCGACAAATTGAACGAAGGTAAATAAGATATATGAAATGTTTTGAAAAGTCAGCGTTAACACTTTCAATGTTTGCAGGCGATCTCTTGGCTGAAATCGAAACTGACAAGGCAACTATGGGCTTCGAAACACCAGAGGAGGGCTACTTGGCCAAAATTGTCGTACAAGCTGGTACCAAAGATGTAGCCATCGGTAAATTGGTTTGCATTATTGTGCAAAATCAAGAAGATGTGGCCGCATTCAAGGACTTTGTTGACAGTGCACCAGCAGCGGCAAAACCAGCTGCAGCAGCACCACCACCAGCAGCTGCTGCACCAGTAGCACCGCCACCACCACCACCAGCTGCAGCACCAGCACCTGTGGCCGCCGCACCTGTCGGTGGTAAGCCCATGACAGCCGTAGAGCAACGCGGCGAACGTGTGTACGCTAGTCCAATGGCAAAAAAACTGGCCGAAGCACAGAGTCTACGATTGCAAGGTTTCGTTCTATACATCCCTTTGTTAAAATCTAATACACTTCTTGTTTGCTTACTAATTGGCTTCTTATTTTTTTGTAAATCCCGCATGCAGGTGCAGGCAGCGGCATCTATGGCTCAATAAAATCTAGTGATCTTGCAGGCATGGCAGCAGCTGCACCCGCGGTCGGCGCACACGCAGCACCGGCTGCACCCCAAGGAGGCTACATTGATATACCGGTTTCAAATGTGCGCGGCGTGATTGCGAAACGTCTAAAGGAGTCGAAACAGCAAATACCGCACTATTATGTGACCATGGAATGTCAAATGGACAATGTATATAACACAGTTATTTTTTTTATTGTATTCCTTGTTAATATGCGAAATTTTGTTTTTTTTTGCCAGTTGCTGAAACTACGAGAGAAGGTTAATAAGAAATATGAGAAACAGGGTGTACGTGTGTCGGTCAATGATTTTATCATTAAAGCCACTGCCACTGCATGCCGCAAAGTGCCGGAATCCAATTCCTATTGGATGGAAAGCGTGATAAGACAGTAAGTAGCACAAGCGATTTGCATACAATGCGATATTACAGCAATGAAAACACTACTTGCATTTAATTTGCACCCAGATTCGACAACGTCGATGTATCAATGGCCGTCTCCACTGATACCGGCTTAATTACGCCAATTGTTTTCGGCGCCGACCGTAAAGGTGTAATTGATATCTCAAAAGACACCAAATCATTAGCTGCCAAGGCCAGAGAAAATAAATTGAAGCCTCAGGAATTCCAGGGCGGTACCGTTTGCGTATCCAATCTCGGCATGATGGGTGCGTATGCAAAACATTGCTTGCAATATTTCTTTAATTCATATAAATAAATATCAATTTCAGGCGTTTCACAATTCTGTGCCGTCATCAATCCGCCACAATCCTGCATTTTGGCAATTGGCGCCACAACGAAAAAGTTGATACTTGACCCCGATAGCCTTAAAGGGTAATTATATGCTAGCACTACTTATTAGGAAACCGTTAAGTAATGAGTAATTTAATTTCTGCTTGCAGTTTCCGCGAAGTCAGCGTGATGAATGTTACTTTAAGTGCGGATCATAGAACAGTGGACGGCGCAGTTGCTGCCAAATGGCTGCAATACTTCCGTGACTTTATAGAGGATCCACAGACAATGATTCTTTAAGTTTAGCACCACTAAAAAGACCTTCATAAATACATACACCCACATTCAGTTAAGCGTAATCCATTATAATGACCAACGTATGTATAGGTAGAAAAAAAAAATAGGAATTCTGCACACGAGTGTACAACGTAACGGCCATCATAATATTTGTACATTGGCGCTGGTGCGCTCCACACATTTTGGTCCCACAGCATATAGAAAATTTACCACCGGAGAGAGCTTTGCTGTGTGTATGTTGAAATATACGCGATTTGGTGGATTTAATTTTTTTGCTTTATTTTTAATTATGACTTAATTGGTATTGAATCAGCTCATATGTGATTGTTTGTTTTAATTTAGTTCCGGTTTACTTAATTTTGTTTTGCTAATTAAATTAGAAAAACAATTAATATATACATACATATGTATACATATGAATAAGAAAACACAGCAATTTGTAAAATAGACTTGGTGTGCCCCACAAAGTAAAGAATGATATTGAAAATAGAGCAAAAGAACTGCCGTAAAGAAGAAAATAGAAAATATGCATTGCTTGTTGTTGCATTGATATCTCACACATGTTACCATATACAAATGAAAGCGCCAAATCAGATGTTAAAATATTTAAATATAATAAATCATTTGTCAATGATAAGGCGACAGTACAACATGTATGTATGTAATTTATGTACAGTTATATAAAAGAAAAACGCCGCGTCCACAACAGCTCACGTGCACACGCATGAAGCGCATGTCTAATTGGAGCAAAGCATTGTTACTGCAACTCATTTAATAATTTATGAAATATTATTATTAATTTTATTTTTTTTCTCTGTTTGATTCATTTGTTATAACAACAAATAGTCGTTATTCGTTATTCGCGAATACTTGGTCCTTAAGGTATGAATAAATAACAAAATGTAGAAAAATGAATAGTCAAAAAGAAAATGAAGGGAAATACACAACTAGACAAATGAAAGACGATTTATTTTGTAACACTTTTATTTACACTAAATTGTAGTATAATAGAAAAAATGGAATAATGCTTAGTAATTACATGTGTGTATGTGAAAGACGCGTATTTAGCAAAAGCCGGCGTTTAATGTATTTTTTTTTTTTTCAACAAACAAATTTTTGCATTTGTTCAGTTTTTGATCTTCAAGCAAGCGAGAGAGAGAGAGAGAGAGAGAGAGAGAAGGAATGTACAGCCTTTGGTTGTAGCAAGTATTGCACGCTGTGATACCCATTGGTTTACCACTTCGCTGGACCCAGCTCGGACCATTCTCTAACGAAATCAGCGTGCTTCTCTAGCGGCGTGAACCAATCGGCACCGCCGTAGTCGATTTTCGGTTGTGTGCCTTTGTAGTTTTCGGGCAGGATTTCGGGCGAGAGAAACTTCTGCAGTGACTTCATATCGCTACCGTGGAAATGCATCTGTGAAATAAGAAAAATATTATTTATTGATATGTTTTAACTTCAAAATGTAAGCAGTAGACACGGATACTGGTTGCTCCGCAAGACCACGTTCGTAGTATGTTTTTTCGCTAGCACCGTAGGTATAATAACCTTCACAGCAGCATAAAACTGTATAAAATCTTTTATTCTTATCTTTATATTAAGTTTGATCGGTTGTCGTTGTAGTTTCCATAAGGTTAGATTCGGGTTGGTTGTCATTGAAGTCTTGTTGCTGTTGTTATAACGGTTATTTAATCATCCTTAGGATAATATGGATTATCTAGGTTGTCGTCGACGTCCCCTAACGGCAAACCCAAGAAACAAGTCATCTAACAGTAGGCCCAGGAAACCTGCTGTTTCTACGGGGTCGAAGCATAGGGAGAGGGGTGTTAGATGAGTGCGGTTCATTGGTCAAGCAAGGAGGTGGTTAGTGTCATGCGGGGACTCATTGCATGCTAAACATATATTGGTATGTATGTATGTCGAAGTCGATTTCGAACAAGTAGGAGTTTAACCTGATATAGTAGAATAGAACAAAGTTGTGTAAAGGTCAATTTAGATAGTAGCTCGAGCTCTTGTGGTTGTATCGGCAGAATTCTGCAGAGTTGACAGTCCTTGGCCGAATAAAAACGCACTCCGGAACGTCGTGGAAATGGAACTCGGGCTCTTCATGTGCAATGGCTGATGTTTGACACCAAGAGAATATTCACTGAGACGGAGTCCGTGTAGGTATTGATGGCTCGCTGTAAATGGCAGTCACTGCAGTTAGTTGCATCTGAAGTCTGGTCGGCGACGATGGCGTCGACATGATTGAGAAAAGACCTCTTGACCAGACGAAACTGCTTGTACATTAGTTCATTATGTTTCTTGGGCGGAAGTATGCGTGCCTCGCTATGTAAATGCTCAATGGGAGCCATCACTAGGCATGCTGTAATGGTCCGAAGGCAGTACTTTAAGACGTCTGAAGTGTCATCGTCTGCGTTTCACTACATCGAGGTAAGTTAGTCCGTATGACAGCTACAGCAATAGTGGTCCGATCTGAACAACATTTTCGGAGATTGCCTTGGACAATATTTTAAGCGAAATGATAACACCTAAGATAACATGTCAAATAGAGAAGTTGTCCATACAAAACCTTGATTGTGGTTTGAAGATATCATGTCAAATAAAAAAGTTTTCCATACAGGAACTTGATGTTGATGGGCCAGTTTATATGGAAGCTACATATGTGCTGTAGGGGACGATATCGGATATTCCGACGAATATAGAGATTCTTCTGCTACTTTATTGGGTCTTCGACATATCTTTTTGGGTGTTTCTAACTACCAACGAAATGGAGACTAATGCCGACCGTTCAACCAATAGACAAAATTATGTATAAAATTCCTCCCCGCTTACCCGCTTGTTGAGCTTCTCGCGTACGAATGGTTTGAAGAGCGCCCACACCAATTTAAATATGAAAGGTTGTTTCACAAAATGCACCTCCTTCATGCGCAGCGGCATAGCGTCCTGTATAAAGGTGAGTAGACGTTTCGAGAAAGTGGGCGACAGAGCTTTGACCTGCTTCATTGACAGCCCGTCAAAGTCCATTATGCAAACGACACCGCGCACTTGTGTTTCCGGCTCGAGTTGGGCGGCAATGTGCACCATATACAACATGCGGAAAACATCATCGGACGGCACCGCAGCGGGATCCCATAGTTCACCACAATTCACAATCATTACACGACGTCCATGCTGATCGCAATTCTTCAACACATTCACAATACCGTATTGTATAAATATATCCTTGAGCTGTTCGATGAGGAGACCATGGACAAGTGCGGCATTATCTTTGCGGAAAGCGGCTGTTGTGCGCATCTGGAATGGTAATAGTATGTATTTAGATTGATTTCGGATCAAATGTTGTTCTATTGCAGATAAATGAATGGTATACAAGTTAAGTCGTGGTTCTAAAGGTTGTCGCAGCTTTTAAAACGATTGTTTATAATAATATTTACTCGATAGAATGGCTAACGGCATCTTATTTTGAAAGATGGAACCAGGACTAGCTACTGCTTTAGCCACTGACACTTGAGATCGAAGAGCTGGATCACATCTAAATTCATTGTGACGCGAAATACTATACTTGGCTAATGACAGAGTTCTTCTAAGTCTCCCAGTATGTATGTAGGTCTATTCAGCTTCTTATAGTTAATAAAATAAATACTATATTTTTGTTAATAACACTGACTATTCACAACTTAAAGAGTGGGTTTCCAAATTTAATTTAATTACCCAACTTGGTGTGCTGTCAGGTTTGTGAGGCGCGAATGTCACTTAAGCACTGGTTGGGCACGGTGCCTGCTTCTCTTTAATAGAACTAGCAGGAAGCCAGCTTAACATGAAGTCACCTTGTGACTTCTAAATCACATTACATGTATGTATGTCTTTAATATTATATTAAATATTTCATATTCTGTATATTTTTTTTAAAATTATTTCGTTTTTTTATTTATGCCCGTATAGTTACTATAGTTCAGGGAGTCCCGAAAAGTTTCGACGTCACTAAATGTTAATTTGAGATAAATGCGCATATTTTTTACTGGTTCATGTGGAACTGAAAAAAGTCGGTATCCTGAAACTAACATTTTAAAATCCCGAAAATAAATTAATATAAATTTGTTAATTGAAAATTCTACTTTAATTAAGAATAGATCATGTTATATCTATTTTGGTGTTATTTATGCATGTAGTAAGAATAATTCAAAGGATCCCGAAAAGTTTCGAAATCCCGAAATGGAATTATGTTTAAAATAATAAACTCGCTTATTTATTTTTTACTGATTATTAAATAATAATAATAAATATATGATGCCGAAAAATATCGGGATCCCGGCATTAACATTTAAAAATCCCGAATTTTAATTTCTGCAAAACGAATGCATAACAATTTTTTACTGATTAATAAATATCTCGAAAAATATCGGAATCCCGAAATTTAGTTTTTGCTAAACGAATGCAAGAAAAATGTTGTATTAACGCTTTTCCTAATGAAATTGCGTGTCATTTGAATTAATAATCCACAACCATATAGTCCATTTATGCACCATATGAAGTTCTGTAGATTCTTTTTAAACAAGTGATTGAGTATACAACAAACAAAATATTTATATAAATCATTGCATTGCCAATGGTTGTTTACCTTGTCAAAGGCAAGGCGGTTGGCCTGCATTATGCAACCGACAAAATGACACAACTAATTAGCTGATATGCGTCGCTTCATACATACAGATGAAGCGGCAATCACCGAATGGAATATGGAATAAGATTCTATATGCCGACACACATACATACATATGTATGCACGTATTTTGCTAATATGCAAATATGTATGTATAACGCGTGCAGCCTAATCCGCTAGCGTACGAGCGAGAGTATGGGAGCAGAAGCTAAACATAGGCAAATACAACAAAGCGGCTTAATTAAGGTCTTGGTCAAGAACGGCACAGAAAATGACGTTTAATAGACGCTATATATGTAGACATACATATTATATATGTATGTATGTATCTGTATGACTGACTGGCTTCCGCGCAAACGCAACGCTGATTTAACGGCTAAAGACGCTTCCGCGCACTTACTCACATATGTATATACAAACGCATACTTTATGCGAATTTGCATGAAAACAGTTAAAATTTGGTTTAACGCTGCGTTGTTTGTATGTGTGTATGTATGTATATTTATAGATGCGGTACGCAATGACAGACCGCCGCCGTTTTTAATTGTTGGCTAAGAAGCTGATAATTGTTGGCCCATATATGGGGTCTTACTGCACAGACACGCACATACATGTATGTACATGTGCAGAGGCCAAAAATTTTGTTATCAAAATATTTATGACACGCAGTACATATGTATGTATGTACATATGTATATATATATATGTACACTCGTGGTCAATGGTCAATGGCTAATAACTTTTTATTTTGTTTTAGTACACCTTGGTCAGCTCTGATTATTATCCATCCGCGCACTTCAACTAATATGTTTGTATGTATAATTTATAATCGCGTCGTAAACCCTCTTTGGATAGCAGCGCTAAGCGTAACTCGCTAATAAAGCTTTCGATATCTTGTAATTCATAAGCGCCTAATATCTTTATAATACATACATATGTACATACGTATTTATTGCACTAATATGTGTAGGTATGCATGTATATATTTATGTATGTAAAATATATTTTAACGGAACATTGAACCCTTCAACTTTCGTGGCCCTATTTTAACAGCCAAACGTCCTCAATTTAAGCAGCTAAGGTCTTATATAATGCCATACAGTTGGTTGTGTTCATGGGCTTGACATTTGTTTTTCATGAGTATTGTGATTACACTCAGACGACTCTCTGAAACCAGGCAAGCGTTGGCATTCTCTCAAAAATCCACTCTATGGAATTCACTCGT